ACTTTTAATTATTTCACAAAAGTTATCAGTATAACATTAGATTTCAGTGTATGCGTGTAAGGAAAACTATCCCAACCTTTGATTCATTACATTAAATACAATCATAATAATTCCTAGTCGATGCACAGCTGAAAATAGTTGTAAAACATAAAAAAGCGCAGATTTTATAATGTTATTTCCCTCAAGTTTCATATTTTCTATTTGCAAAAGAGCAGTTAGATGAGTAAATCACTTAATTTAACAGAAATTAAAGTTAAATATGTTTCATCCCCTTCAGAAAATCTGAGATTTAAGTGTCTTAAGTGTTTTCAATAAAACTTGGAGCCCTAGCTTTAGCTCCAGAGAAGAGATCATTGCTGACTAACTTTGACTGCAGCAGCTTTACTTTAAGCCCGTTTCAGTGCCTTTGGCCCCAGTAAAAGTTGGAAAAGAATTTGCAGAAGCATACAGTATAGCACTCTATAACATCAATGTAATGTGTGTGAGAAGAACTCAGCTGAAGTCGTTCTGCTGGTCTCAGCTCTGAGACCTCCACCTGGATACATCATCACTGATTACTTTAATTAATCTTAAATTGGAGCAAAGATTCTCCAATTGGATTTTCTGATGATGGCATTTCAATAAATGTGCAGCTGTATGATTTGAATTAGAACATGATACAAAGTTATTATGTTGACTTTTGGTAACATAACACAGTTAAGAGAGTTATTGTGTTGGCTTAAATTCCACCCTCCGTTAATCTTCAAATTCTTGTCAGGAATAAACCTCTCAATCTGTCCTCCACTTATATGAACTTTATCTGTACCTTCTGCTGAAAAAACATCGATTCCACCCTGGATGGGGTGGATACATGTGCATAGCCATTTATATTTTTTTCCTTTATTTAGATACAGATACATATTGAATTTTAGCACACCTTTTTCTACAAGCATTTGATTGGTTTTCTTCAGCAGCGGAGCCTTGATCACTGAGTGTGCTTTCTGCCAGTTTTCTTTCACTCTTGGACAACTACTCAGATTAATTTTGGACTTATCATTTAGAACTATTCTGTGACCGGGTTACGGTTAGATTATTTTTCTTTCAACTTCTGACATATGGCTAAAAAAGAGACATATTTTCAGAAGCTTAGGAAAAGCCTGAAAAATGTATTGATTTGTTTTGTTGCAATAAGTTTGGAAAAATCTCTTTGTCTTCCATAATATCCTCCTTGTTTGATTCCTTGGAAATGTGAAGACTTTTTAACGCAACAAAATAAGGCCTTAAAAAGATTACCTGCACTGATTAAGGACAGCATTGCTTTATAAATACTGATATGTTTCAGACATTTTCTGGGCTTCTGTCTTTTTTCCACTTCTTTTCACTGTTCCTTTCCTGCTTAATGTCATTCTACTTTATTACAGCTTATTTAAATTTTTTTAGGTGGCTTCATGTATTTACTTTGAAAAACATTTATGAATTTCTCCTGCCCCAAATGAAATAAGTAAAGCAACTTCATTTCTTTTATAACACAAATAATGGTAATTTAGTAAGTATTTGTGGAAATGTTGTATTTGCAAGACAGTTTATTACTAGAGGCATTTCATACTCCTAGAAACATATGCACAAATTACTTTGGTCATTTGAGATTGAAAATCCATATCCATATGTAATGGCAATTCTGCAATTTTTTTCTAAACATATAAAAAAAATCATGAAATGTGTTGCTCTAAAAGTGCAAAAGATTACACTGCTTACAACTATTTAGGATTGAATTGAGGAGTTAAATGGTTGTCAAGATTTCTGTTTCTGCATTTTGTGGGTATGTCTCGGCATAGAAATGGAGAGAAAAACAGAAATGGGGGAATGAGGTGAGGTAGGGAAGAGGAGGAGATGCTCTGAAGTCCTTTGAGGCTGCGTGCAGCCATTAGCCAGGCGCTATCCATGTAAAAAATAGAGTTTCTTCAATATTATTCAGCCTGCTAATTGCCTAAATTTCTTTGGCTAGGCTATCCTAATTTAGCTAACCTCCATAGAAGGAATTTATAAATTAACAATCTGATGCAGGCCATGAGGAATAAGGTTGATGGTCACAATGGTCAGTGTTTGGTGGCTCAATTGACTTGGGCTTGAGAAGTCCAATCATGGACTCCCAGCTTTGAACAATATTGTCATCTCTGTACAAAGCATGGGGATGAAAACACCCCTGCATGTGGGAGCAGTTTCAGCACCTATTGAGGAGTTTGGTGGTGGAGGCGTGCCTGAACGTTGAGCCACGCCCTGATCTGCATTTTGCAGTCAGGGGTCACTTTTTGGTAAACATGAATCTGAGGAATTTAGTGCAGACAAGAAGCTATTTACTAAGTGCTATCAAGGAGCTGCTACGATCTGAAAACATCTGAGCTACGTCTCACGGGACTTCATCTTAGGCTCACTGCAAACACGATCTAGATATAAGTCAACATTTCTTAAATTCAGCCCTAATTTGAGCAGGTAAATAATATGATCTGTCAATGGAATGGATATTTCTACTCTTCAAATAAGATAAATTAGATATTATGCGCTTAAAATAAGAAAGTACAATCATTTTTTTCTTATTTTTAATGTAAATCGTCTTGTTCCATTGGAAAAGTATCCCACATACCTCCTCAATTCAAGACCAAATGCACTTATTTAAAGAAAAAAAATTATTCATTTAGATAAAAACAATTCCAGTGCTCCTACCTCCTATCCCTTGACCTTTCTCTAGAACACCAGACTGCTGTGCTGAATCCCGACTGTCCCGAATATCATTATGCCACGGACACGAGTGATCCTTGTCCAATTGGGACTACAGCCTTTCCGAAAAGAACTACAACAAGCAAACTACATAAATGTAGCCAACAGCTCAGGTTCTCCCTATGAAAACTCAAAACATATGTAGGTGTGTACATTAGCATGTGTTACACCGAGTACACTTGAAAAAATACTGTATTTTTCTTAGATTGTGAAAAGTGGGCTTTGCCTATACGTCCTCTCCCCCAAAGGACTGTTGCTAACCCTATAGCTCCTAAATGCCGGATAGCAATGTCAGGAGGTATATAAATGAACTGGTGATGATAGGAAGCATCCTGTTTCCTCTTTCTAGCTCCTTCCTTGCTATCAGGCCTATTTGGACAGCACTTATTTACAGTAGATGACCACTGGCGCACTTCCGCTCTGGCTTAAATGTCTTTAACAATTTGCACTATTTGGAAGGAGCCTTACGACTTGAGCGAAAACCTTTCTTGTCAATGTTTGTATTATAAACAGAAGTAAACAGTTAGATATTTTGACCAATGAAAATTTAAAGAACAAGGCTTTATGTAGTATTTAATATTTTCTCAGTTAAACTAATAATTTTATTCAGTACCACTGTAGGCATTATTTGAACATTCTAAGAAAACTTTTTTATAAAAAAGTTGCATCAATGATTAAGTGGAAGACTTGATAAGTAAAAAGTGAGTGGGAACCTCTGCAGAGGCTTGAAATCTGGGCTTCATGCATTTTGTTAAATAGTTTCCTTTTTAAAATACACATCACTAATATACATTCATCTTGTTCAACACCTAAATGGGTTTTATTTTCCTGTGAGCGAAATAAAAAGACATCACAAAGGAAATAAAATAAAACGCTTCACTGGAGCTTCAGCATTATGTAACAAACCACAAAGCAGACAGTCAGCTGACTCCAATTCCAGTCAGATTTCCTAAAATAAATCCCATTTCCATGTGTTCTATTATGTTTTTCATATTTGAAAATGCCTTCAAAGAAACTCAGATTTTCAGCTTCACAGGTGGTGATGTGTTCAGGATAGAAAAGAAAACTTTAAACTGCAGAGGCAGACAGCTCCTGAAATAAAAACTAAATTTTTTTGGAAGATGTTTAAACAGATCAGCAAATGAGATTGGATAATGATTAAATTTAACTTATCCAAGAGGACAGTTTTGTATTTACTCATTATTTTACATCAGATAAGCCCCCTATAAGAAATTTTTTTACCGACAGGTTTAACCTCAGAGCATTGCGTAACATTAAAGAAAAAAAAAATCTCATGAATGTGTCCCTCTGGAAAATGTTTAAAAATGTTTTGCAGCTGCTTAAACTACTAAACCTGGCCAGCAGCGCCCTCTAACTTCAACTTTACAAACTGTGGAAATTGGTAGGAAGTCATAATCTGCTCCATAGCTCTAGGGAATAATGAGCAACAATAAATAAGTAAATTACATAAGTTGAATAATTTAGGTGAGGAAAACAGAAACTAAATAGCATTTATATTTAAAACAGTTTTTCTCTGACTATTTTTTTTCCAAAGAATGAATGATTCTGAATGCTTTGCCAACTCCAGAGAAAAACAAATGATTCATTACTCGATTTACTGGCAGCCCAAGAATTTTGGATGAGCTGTTTCCTTTCATTTTACCTCAGGAGAATTTATTTTCTTTAATAATCAGAACAATATAGCCACAGACTCATTTTGTGCTCAAGTACAAACAGTACAACATACTGTATATAAACTATGTTTTTATAAATCTAAGGAGTAGCATTGTAGTTAAAGAAAGTTTTTAAATGTTCAATTGCCAGGAGGAAGAAATTAATGTGAAGGACAGAAGCATACTACCACCAGAGCAGAGCTTGGAAAACAAGGCAACGGGACCAGAAGCAACTTGTGTCCTAGAAAAGCATTAAAGAAAAAGACAAAGTTTTCAGAAGGCACAACAATCAACACATGATGATACAAAGGTATGTCCTCTGAATGAATGCTCTGTGTTGGTGCAAAGAAATGTCAATCCAAACAAGATTCCAGTCGAATGGTTTTCTACAGATTTTCCCTCATACTGTAGCATCTTCTGCAAGGAAAAAGTGAGAAAGTTTCTCAGGTGTCAGAGCTTTGAAATTGTATGGCTGTGCCCAGGGAGGGTTCAAAGATCACAACTCTGCTGAAAACATTTGAAAAGTTTAAACATAGACAAAAAAGACTAAGAATAAATCCAAACAAAAAAATATTTGGTTAAAATGTTTATATCAGTCTGACGGAGTACATTAGATAAGTTAAACAGGTGGATGAACAATACATTGACTCCCTTCACATTCATTTGCTTCAGTTGCAAACATTTTTTTTCAAACCAAAAAAAACTTTTTTTTTTTTGTAATTTTACAGTACAACAAAAAACATGAAAAAAATACTTTTTTTCTCAACACTGCAAAAATATTTGGCCACAGCTGTTGATAGCATTATATCAAGGCAGACATTGAAATGTAACATTTTACCCAATAAACAAAACATGTCACCTGTGCTTAATCCAAAACTGGAGTTTAATTTAAAAAAGCAAAGATGGGTAAGAACAAATTATGAAAACATGAAGCTGATTTTCAAACATAGGTTTAGAATAGTGAAAGCAGAAATATGTCTACACTTTTAATTCAGTTTATTCTTCATACATAACAGGAAAAACAGAGATACCACTGAAGGAGAATAAAACAACAAACGGAAGGTAGAAAGCACATTGGATTCTATCCAGCTGAAAAATAATTAGCATCTTCATCAGTAAAATCTGTTTATATCCAGTATTAATTAAGCTGATAACAGTGTATGGATGCAGGTATGCTAAGCCTGAGGGAAAAAAAGAAGTCCTTCATTGTGCCAAAATAAAACAGAATAAAAACCACATAATGCTAAAAAAAAAAATGAACCAACTCCATTAAGAAAGTAGTTTTTATAGATAAGACAGAATTTAAATAACATACACTGAACTGTGTTTATGTCAGTTTAAATGGGGAGCCCGTAAACTAAGCTTCAAGTAATTTAATACTGACTGTTTCCAGCTCTCTACTGGGCTGCTGGGAATTTTGGAAAATGTCGATTAAAAAAGTACTTATAGAAACAGAAAAATTTCTTTGGCTCACGGGTAAATGATAAGCCTCCAACTCTGATAGCGAATTCTGTTGGAGGAGGACTGCGAACATTTGGTAGATCTCATAATTCTGATAATCAAGGCACTATCTGTAGTTGATATGTAAACAAAATGAAATAAGCTTCCAGCATGAACTGCCATGCAAAAACTTCACACTGCCAAGCTACAGATGTTTTCTGGCATGATACGATACAAATTTATCCTCTTTTCTTCTAAATCTGAGCCAAAGTATTGGCTAAAAAAGTGAAAGAACACATCTTAAATAAACACACAATCTCTGAGTTCATAAGTCAACCTACACTCCTTTAGAGCAGTAACGTCTCCTTAATTTGGGTCTTTCGTGGTTTATTTCACCTTTTTAGGACTTGACTCATAACATGAGATATAACATTGACTTACAAAAATAAGAAATTTGTGAGGAAACGGTTAGGGTTGTGCATTCTCGATCAATTTTGTGGGATTTTTGAATGAGTTTAGGCGTTTAAACTGCTCATATGGTGACTGACAGCAGATTACATAAGTGAGGTAGGAGCTTTAATTGTAACAATGCTGACACTGCATTTGGGATTCTGGTAATACTGCAGCTAAACAATATTTTGGCATCTTCATCTGAAATGGCATTTTTTAAAACAGAAAATAAAACTTAAGGTTTCCCTTGAGAGTATCTGGGTTGAAAAGGTGCAGCAGTGAAGGGGTCATCCACAGTTTTCCCCACTATGGTCCAGGAATGCAGTGGCCCCACTGCCACTGAGCCCACAGCGGCCTGCTGACCAATCCTGGAGATGACGCGGTGCACCGCCACGGGCTGCTGCAGCAGAGGGGCCTCTGTGTGCAAAAAGGCACCGGGGAGACACTTGTTGCTGTTCTTGACTTGCTTTGCCCCGGGCCTGGATATGTGAGTGTTATCTGGAGCATTTTTGTTGGTTTCCTGTCGCTTTCCAAACGGTGCCAGCAGGAAAACATCTGATGCTTCAGCAGAAAGGGCGGAGCCACTGAGTGCTGTCCCATTTCCATCTTTCTGTCCTTTAAACGGGAACAGCTGGAAGACATCAGATATCATCTGGCTGTTTGCAGAGGGGCTCTGGGATTCTCCTTTAACAGGTATGAAATGAGGGATAGAGCAGGGAGTGTGTGCAAGGCGGGGCTGAGCAACACATTCATCTGACGGCAACTTGTCTTTGTTAGGGGCACATGGAGTGGTGCTCTGATGGATCTTCAGCCCAGGAGCCTCAATGTGAGCAGTGTGATGTTTGTTCCTGGTGAGCTCCCTTTGCAGGTCTGTGTTTGCAATGAAAAGGAGAAGGGTGACATTTATAACAAGAAATTCAATCATTGAAAGTGTTGTTCAAATTATATCAAATATAAGTAACTTTTAGAGCAGATCAAGTAGATAAAACCCTAAACTAAAAGAAGCATTAGTCGTAGGAAAGTCCCAAAAAAGCAATTCAATGTAGCATTTATTTTTTTCTTAAAGTCTGGGGAATAATAATCTTTGCCAACATGTTTGTTTTTTTATTTGTCAAAATATGAGAATTAAAATGATTGAATAGTTTATTATTTTAGTCTGAGTCGCTTTGCACTATAAACTAACTGCAGACGAACATTGCACATATAAGGTCTTACCTGCATTGATTTACAGGACAATCCAAGCCAGAAATGTTACTATTCAAACTGTTTTTTTTGCTCTAGCTTCAGCTATGTCCGCCAAACATTCTTTCGAAGCAACGACATTGACAATTATTTAAATATTGCAATATTGCACAGACAAGTTTTTCCAGCAATATAAAGTAAAATAGAACTTTAACACATCAGTTTGAATTAAAGATGCACCGATCTGATAATAATATCTCTATTGTTTTCAATATTGATGAAAATTCTAGATATCAGCGAAAATGGGCTCTTCTGACCAGCCACTTGATTCAAAATACTGTAAAAAAAAAAAAAAGTAATAAAGTAAACAAATTTAATAAAATATAATTTATAAAAATACAAAAGAACACTTAAAATAACTATTAACAATCTTAAAATTATATCCGCCTCAGACAGAAGCTTATATAATCTGATATTAATTTTTTTGGCTAATAAATGTGTTAAGTTGGTAGAAACATTTAACAAAAAGACATTTAGCTGTAACTGTAGTGAAACAGCTATCTTTCAGAAATCTACGTGTTGACACACCTGCGCCATTAGTTTTGTGTTTTGCAGTTATTTTTTTTTAGTAATAAAGTTCTTGAATAAGTCTACACCTAACATGATCTGATCCAGTTCTGTGAGCAGAAGAAGTACCAGCACTTCCCATAGAAACCAAACCTAAACATGCAACTTGGGTGCATTAGAAAATTACATAATGTGAGAAAAGGTTATTTGGTTTAATTTTGCTTAGAGAGGCTGAGCTGATAGCAGCCAAAGCTGTTTGCATGTCAGATCAGTAAACTCACAGATCAGCACGGCAGGAACCTCACTGCAGCTAACCATGTGACACCATGCGGTGTGAAGGTTCTACATTTAAAATAAAAGCAATAGTGAAACACCCAGTAGAGTCAGCACGTTTACAAACAGATTGAAATCAGATTTTCAATTTTGGGACCATGTTTGGTATTTTAAAGCATGTGGGAATTAAACGTTGTGAGGTTTGTTTTTGATTTAAGTAAAGGGGTGAAGCTAAGAAAGGATGATGAAGACAGTTGTATGATTTTTTTGCTCTAACATATATATCTGTAGTAAAGGTGATGAAAAAATGTGCGAGTTATGTTAAGAGTTACAGTAATAGTGTAAAACTGTAACCTTTATATGTTCCTGCTTTAGTCAATAAACATCATGTTCAATTCCTCTATGGACTATGGCCGATGAAAACGACACCATGTACAGTGTGAGCACTACTTTGTGTTGGTTGATCACATAAGATGTAAATCAATTGACGTACCTCAGCCAAGCTCTGTAATCCAAACTCTCTGTGGTTCTGGGTTTGTCAATAAGTGCTTTGAGCAATGTAAGAATCAGAGGTCGAAAAGTCAACATTCACATTTGTACTTTATTAGCCATCGCTTTATAATTTTAAATTATCTCACAAAAAATAGGATCACACAGTATCACAGCTCTGATGCAGGTTTGGGCCATAATGACAAAGAGGCATCTCAAAAAACACTTGATAATATCACATGACTGACAGCTTTCATTTTTCTTTTTGGAGATAACAGAAGAAAAAAAATCTGGGACTTCCGTTTCAAACCAGGTACTAGTCTCACCTGGGATTAGTAATTACAACATCACACTAATGCTGATAGGGGAAAAGCTTGGGGACTTGCATAGGTTTGGAAAGGAACTGCAGATGACTGATGTTTGGCAGAAGAATCAGAAACAGGATTGCTTGGTTACATTAAGCCTTAAAACCATGCATGCAGCAACTCTGGTATATATATAATGAGGCTTTCAAGATGTCTTCCTGTGGTTTTCTTTTGGGTCAAAACAAAGGTGTTGCCTTTTTTACCCAAACTTACTGCACTATACAGATACATGTTCCCAACATCTGCGTCGGTCATTTAATCCTTGATCCTTTTGGCACAAATTCTGGGTTGTGGACTTCAGGACGAAAGTAATTTCTCTAATCTAAACACTCATAATTTTAAAACTAGCTATATGTCAAACAATATTGCACGTACCTTAACCTTGGGCACTTTATTAACGTAAAACAAAGATATTTTGATATATCTTTTTCCTCCTCTGAAATTCCAAAAGTAAATCTTGTGCTTTTTTCGTTTCTTAATTGAAAATAATATCAAAGAAAAATAAGCAAGTGACAGTAGGGTTTTTTTTTTTTATTGTAGTCATGCATAAGATGCATGAAGCATTTATTTTATCCTACAGAAACATCCATACAGTTCTGACCTTTGATAATGATTATGATGCCGTGTAAAAATCAAACTTTAGCTTGAGTAGAAGTGCTATACCTTCAGAGCAACATCCTTCAGAGCTCCGAGAACATTAAATATAAGATGATTCTGTAAACCGTTAAAATGAACGCATATTTCCAGAGGACAGGGGATAGTAAGTCGGCGTCCTGCATGAGATGCAGCTCCGACTACCTGAGAGAATTTAGGAGAGATGAAGGTCTGTGCTTCCAGAGGAGATTTAAGGACAAGCTGATCAATGCCATTTCTACAGCAAATAACACACTAAGACTATTGGGAAAAAACAAACAGAATACACTCCCGACACTTCAGGGTCCACACACACTTTACACACTGAATACCAACGGCATGGGATTGTAACATCCAACACCACTGCCATGCTTTTTGATATGAATCCTGTGATCACTAAAATAAACTGGAGAAACCTTGAAAAGCCCAAACTCAAATGAAGCGGGACCAAAGAGAAATAATTGCACGGAATTCCCTTCTTCACCAGACGGCTTGGAATGCAAATAAATCAACCAACCCGTCCATGAAAACGGGTGGAACACAGGATCTCTTCTCTTTTCACAACAGTGGAATAAGACATGGGTTGGAGCCTCATCTCACAGGCTGAACAGACCAGGAATATCATCTATACATCTCAACATACTGACAGTCTACAAGTATTTATAACCCAGAAGAAAAATAAAAAGATCACACGTCTGCACAGAGGAATAACATTTTCAGATATTCTTTAACATTATCCAACAATAATGATGTTAAGAATCATATATATATTTTTAATATAGACTAATATCTATTTCTTACATTCATTCTCTAACACTCTATTCATATTAACATGTATTAACAGGAAAACAATGTCATATATATATATATATATGGCATGTACAACACATTCATACATAAAGCAATATGTCTTTCACATGTAAAGCTTTATGACAATGACTCCATATATACGATCTGGATAAGAGACTGAAGATATCTATTTACATAAATAAGGAGTAAACAAATGGGCGGAATGTAGGAGGGATTGCACAATGTGGATTTAATGTGCAAAAACAACAGTGTGTGAAAAATGTATGCCTTATCTCTGTAGGTGCCAAGAAAATGAACTGAGTGCGTTATACTTATTTTTAATTGCTACCATTTCTCTGCTAGGTTCTATTGTTGTTAGTTTTTCTTAAGCATTTAAATCGAGATTTCATGCATTTCGATGAAATTGGCACACTATCAACCCCCTGATTTCTGATTTAGTTCTGATGCATCCTTTCTTTAGGAAAATAAATTTAAGTCTTTAAAAGAAAGCAAGGTAGAAAAGGTTAAAGCAAATATTTTTTATACTGAATGGCTGGAAGAACAGCACTGCATAATTATCGGCACTCCTGCTGAAGATGTCTTCAAATTTTTTATTTTTATTTGGGGCAGCGTCATGTTAAACAGAAAATGCTTTGATCAACTTTCATTTGAGTTGCTTAGTCAGCAGTGTCCATGATCAGAAATAATTAAATCATCTGCTCACACCAATGCACATTTTTGATTTATAAAATGAGTATTTATTAGCAATACAGGTTGTTGTTTTTCCCTGGTGCGTAAAAATATTGTGTCCAGAGGCACAATTTTATTAATTTTCTTATTGGAAAAGACAAGAAAATAAGCGATTTCACTGAAATCTAGGCATGTGTCAAATAGCAATAGGTACGATAACCTAAAAATAAACTTTCCCACTTAAGGCCTTTGAAACACAGAAGAGATGCTTTCTAAAAACCCTGGTAAACCTTTAAACCAGTAAACAATCACAGCTATCTACTATCAGAGCAAAACAACTAAAAGCTAAGTACTACTGAAACTGTGGCATAATACTACTGATAATGCATTGCTTCTCTCTGTCCTTTACATATCTAGGTTTCCTCATTTAGGAGCTCCGGCCTTCCTTGGCTCTTCTCTTTCCCTCCGTGTCTCACCACAGCCATAAATGGAGCAGGCTACTGTGTCGTTACAGACCACATCATGCCAGACTGTAGGGCCACCTTGCTATTAAACATCCCCCCTCAACACGATACAACATATTTGTAATAGAAAATGAATTAATCTGAATTTAACTGACTTGACCTGAGTAGATAAGTTAGCAATGGAAAAGAGGCATTTGACCCTCTTCATAAAAAAATATTTCTAAGCTTTTTTCTTGTTCTAAAAACCAATCTTCAGTAGGGTAACAAATAATTATGGAGTGCTATATTTAATATTTGCATTGTTGTTCTCATTGCTTCTCAGATTACTTCAACATTTTGTTATGACTCCTCCGCTTCTAGGATGGACATTCACATATTCACACTCTTAACCACAGCAGCTTAAAAGTTGTAAATATCCTCCAACAAGAGCTCCAAGAAGTCCAACATTTTGCATCCATAGAAATCAGGCTTCAGATTCAGAAACGTTTGGGCTTTGTTGTTTCAAATAAACCTCATCTGAATAAGTGCGCTCTAAACTTTTCCATGTTTTAATTTTCTGTGCAAATAAACTCAGGGAGGAAAATCTAAGAAGGCAAACGACAACAAATTCACTTGTGCACGAGAACTACGACCACTTAGAACTATGCCTATTTTACAATACGACAATGATCTTTTTTGTTTGCTATTAGACATAATGCAGTATTCTTCAAATAAACTGATAGTTTTTATCCTGATTGACAAAGGAACTACCATGACTCGTCTTTAAATGGACGGTGAATGGCTGCTTGTTCTAAAAAGGATCATAAATAATGCAAGGTGACGAGAGCAAAGCTGAAATGTTAGCGTGAAGAGATGGCGGACTATCGATGAAAGAAAGCAGGAATGAAAAAGCGCTGACAGGCGAGGGATGTTTCTATGATGAAGGGGTAAGTCAGGGGGGTGCAGGGAGCTATCCATATCAACACTGCTGATTGTTATTCTATGCCGGACTATTATCCAGATTTACAGCTTCTACGAAGGAGGAAAATGGGGGCCATCTACAAGTCGATGAGCTGGTCCACCAGCATCAGGGAGCGGGCCAAGCTTGGCAGGCTGGATTCAGAGCCACCACTGTTACTGCGCGAGTGGCCTCCTGAAACTGGCCGGACAGACAAGGGAAGGGAAACAACACGAGTACAGGAAAACAGAGGTAGGGGGAGATAGGAGAAAGCAAAGGAGTGGGAGTCACAATAGGCAAGGAAAGCAGGAAACAGAAGTGAGAAGAAAGAATTCACCCAATTACAGCTACAGCCTTTTTTCTTCTAACAATTACATTCCTGTGTTCTCATTTTAATGATTAGATCTAAACTTTCTAATTTCAATCGAAAGATCCATCTACTTCTTTCTAAAAGAAACCTTAATGACGTACCTTGGGAATTTTTTCGGCCTGTGACGGGAATGGGATCAAAGTCATCCTCTGTAGCAGCCTCTGCGCTGGTCGGCTGGGTTTCAAAGTCTGAGATCAGGAGAGACGAGTCTGAAGATGATCAAATAAAGTTTAGACCAACACAGCAAAAAAAAACCAAAAAAGACCCCTTTTCAAGACAAATACATCTGCTGCTGCAGATGTTAACATCCTGTCTGATACCTATTATGAAATTGAATCACTACAGTCAGACTGCGATGCAGAGTTGGTAGAGTCAACAGTATTTAAATACTATAGTTTACCAGCCAAGAACTGAGATCTAAAGCCCTAAAGCACGTCATAATGGAGAACATGGATTTTACAATTTAACACAGTCTGAAGATTGTTGATATCACAATGATGTCGCCCTGTTTTCTGTGAGATTGAAAGGCAACCGGTGTGAGCTCTGAATGTGTGATCCACCTGTTATCTGGGCAGACCAATCTATATAATGCCAAAAGACAGTAATCATTCATAGGGAATTTATGGCCATGTGTTAAATGTTGTGAAACAAAGACCTGAAACGTATTAGACTGATCTGAACAAAGCAAATGATCAGAGTTCAAGTTGCAGACATTTGAGTTTGTGATGGTAGGAGAAGAACACATGCATCACCATAGCAACCATAAAAAATTTTTTCAATGAATGCAGTTGTCATGTAGTGACAGCTGGCTTTTATATAATATTTTGTGATCCAGAGATCTCATCTTTAGCTGCAGCTCGGTGTCCAAGAGATTTGGATTTTTACCTCCACAATAATAGCCCCTTTAAGGTTACAATCACTTCTCAGTCTAGTTTAATTTCATTCAGTTGTTACTATTTATTTCCACAAATTTAGTTGTTTTTTTAAGTTCTTAGTGGGTTTGATATTTGCCATTAGTTCCTATTTATAGTATGTACTATATAAGGTATTAGTTCTTCTAATACTTTTAGTTTTTTCACATTCCACCTATTTTTTTAGGTGACGGATTACAAAAATAAAAGATAAGTATTGTATTTATGAAATTATCATACTCCTCAACACAAGATACAGTTTTTTTTTAGGTTTTGAGGTAAACTGACATGCAGCAAAAAAATAATAATTTCTGTATGTTTTTGTTAAATTTATAAACGCAGAATACAGTTAAAGTGAGTTATAGATTTCCATTTTTTCAATAGTTTTGGTTAACTATAATAACCCTGAGCCCATGAAAAACATGGATTATTCTTTGTGACCACAGGCTAAAAGAAACAAATCTTTGTGTCAAAACTTATTTACACTTCAGAAAGCTATCAAATTAATTAGTAATTAATCCTTATAAATGTGCTGTTAGGGTAAAAAAATGACAAAATGTGTATTTCCAAATATGGGATTATTTACCCTAACCTACTGAATAAACTTAAAAAATAGATGGGGTTTAGTTACATTTTCTAGTGTTAGACTGTGTTACTGCATTAAAAATTAACTCTACTTTAATGTGTTTACATACATTTTTCCCAGGAAGGCAAATAAAGAGGTAGACAGCTGCACCTAAGATCTTAAACCCCCTAAGGAACCAATATTCCTGGCTGGAGCAGCAAGATCACGCCAAGCAGCATTTTGATCCTTTGATGTTAATGCATTTCTACCTCTGAGAAGCAGCAGTTTTTAAATTATTAAACACCAGCTTAATGTTTACTTTGTCGATAGATACTCTTGGAAAAATAAGAACTGAGAGGACTTTCCACAGCTGAACAAATAAGACACTACACTCTCCTCTTAAAAAAAGTTTTTTTTCTGTCCAGTAAAAAAAAGAAGAAAAAAAAACTTTCAGCTTCACTGAGCAAAATTAAAGGTACACTATGCAACCGGTGTTGATTTTCCAGCGAGACTCCCCCCAGAGGGCGAAAGTAAAAGTGCACTGTCGTAAATATGCACAGCTGTTCTCCTGGTTTCTCCGTCAAGCCAGGCGCTGTTGTTTTGAGCTTAGCAGACAGGCGAACGCAACGAATGACTAATGCTGCGTTCACACCGCAGCTGGCGCGACAGAAGCAGCGAGTTTACATGCAAAGTCAATGGTTGACGCGCGTCAAGGCGCAGCAAAAGGTCCCGCGGCGCGTTTTGAGCAGCAGGCCCAGCGCGTCTGAGCAGCTGAAGCAGGGAGAGAGAAACAGCGCTGATGATCAGAGGCTATGATCTCTCCTCTTAAACAGTTTATTGACGCCTAAATTAACTTAAAATGCAGAAATCTGCCGGCAGAATATGCAGTTTGGATTATTTAGATCAAAAACACCTACCAGCTGCCGCGATGAACCGCGAGGACGTGACCTGGCCAGAGGCTGCTGATGAAGGGGTTCCTTCTGTCGGCGCACCGCTGGTATGTGGGGGTCTGAGCGGCTCCGACAGAAAAAATATTGAAGGCAGGATAATAATCTGAATGAACTGACGGCACTGATTACGTTTTCAGGTGTATTTTCTCATTTAAACACATATTAAAACTACTTTATTCCAAATGATCACAGCAAATATAGCTGCAAGGCAGAGAAAGGATAGTGAAGCTCCGCCCAACGCGCGTCAGACACACTTTTGCACCGCACAGCCAGAGCAGCAAAGCTGCTTCAGCTGCGCGTCAGAACTAACTGGTTCAAGCAGCAAAAATGAAGCAGCAGACACGATTTTGCTGCGTGAACGTAGCATAACTGCACAAGGATCGCCACTGTGCTAGCAACGAGAATGCTTTTAACTGGGGGGTGTAGCAGTTCTCGGCCGTAAAGCAAGACTGACTCTCATGAGACTTCTGAGCCTGTGGGTGCGGGTCGGTGCTCCTGCAATTGCAAGTGCAGTATTTCCCCCACAGACCACCAGGGCGGCCGAGAATACCTTTGTTCAACCTGAAATGAATCATTTAATCATCCATAACGTTATAGAACACATTAATTAACTGAAAAATGTTGCATAGTGTGCCTTTAAGTGATTTCTAAAAAAACTAGTGTTTATAATTAAGAGCTTCTTTGTTAAGATCCCTGCATCTTACCCGCTTTAGGCTGTACAGAGTCTCCAGACAGCAGGCTGAAATCATCAAGAGCAGAGGTGGCAGAGGTGGGAGCAGAGGAGACGGAGGAGGTGGCACTGCTTGGTGCTGCGGGGGGACCAGAGATGAGAGAGCAGCCCAGGAGAGAGCCATCTGCAGTGAGAGGGTCTGGGACAGGAACCCAAATAGCATAAAGGGATGTTTTTTATTAGAATGGGATCTAGTTAAAACATCTGCATTCTCAGAATTGAATATTGACTATTTAAACACATTCTGTCTTCTCTCACCTAAACTGTCAATTAGAGGTGAGTATTGGCCTGAGTGTTGCGATTCGATACATGTCGCGATACTTGGGTCACAATACGATATTATCACGATATTGCAGTATCCCTATATATTGCCATATTTTCCCCAGCTATCAAAATCAAATGATGAGATAAAACAGCAAGTGCTGTATATTTTCATCAGAAAATATTGATTATGTATCATTATCCATGTTGTTTGGGGTTTTCTTCCACTGTGACTGCCTCAAACACAGATTTGGTGCTGCACGCACAGTTAAAGGGCTCCACAGCGCTTTCTGCCAGAGTGGTGGTGCAGAGGTAGCCCCTTTTCCCATCAATATTTTATGTAACCATTTTTTTTTTTAAATCGATACAAAGAAGTTAAATGGTAAATGGTAAATGGCATGTACTTATATAGCGCCTTTATTCAAGTTAGGAGACTTAACCAAAGCGCTTTACACTACATTCATTCACCCATTCACGCACACACTCACACACTGATGGTGGCAAGCTACATTGTAGCCACAGCTGCCCTGGGGCTCACTGACAGAAGCGGGGCTGCCGTACACTGGCGCCACCGGGCCCTCTGACCACCATCAGTAGACAATGCAGGTGAAGTGTCTTGCCCAAGGACACAACGACACTGAAAGTCGGAGTCGGGGCTTGAACCGTCAACCCTTTGATTTCAGGGCAAACTCCTACATCCGACGCCACTGTCGCCCCGTCGTGAAAGATCGATATTATATTGGGCAGCCGAATATCACGATATATCACCAAAATGATTATTTCCCACACCCCTACTGTCAATTGAATGAAATAACTGACAATAATATGGAATTATTTGGCCACCAGTGGCAGCAAAGAGAAAAACTTCAAAGCTGCAATTATAGCTGAATGCAGACAATTACAGGCTGTCATGGTGACAGTTTGTGTCACTGATACCATGCAACACGAAGGTCCATGGTTCGGTTACGAGGCTAGGATCTTTCTGCATTGGGTTTCCATGTTCTCCCCATTGATGCATGACAAGGAAAAACAAATATATCCCAGGATACCAAAGAAAACACTATGATTTTTATTGATTCATATGAAACCAGCTGATGATTATGATGCCTATCATTCCACTTTTACTTTACATACGTATTTAGGGTTTTAATGTTTCTGTTTGTGCAAAAAGATTAACTAGATTTTTCATGAAGTTAAAGTGTTGTCAATAACACTGAATGTGTTTTTCTGCTTTTCGTTCTCGTGATAAACTTTAATAAAAAGAAAAAGTTCTACCTTTGACAGACTCCACAGACCCTCCAAACGGATCAGACAATGACAGCAGATCAGGAAGTATTAGAGAAGAGGTGTCAGGAGATTTGAGTCCTTCAATCAGCTTCTCTGTAGGCCAGAATAGATAATAATGAAAAACTTACACAAAAGTAATTGATCAAATGTCCAAATCATCCAGACAACAGAAAAAGCAGCAGGATGGATAGATGGATGACATGGACAATGGGATAGAATTTTTAAACCAAACCCTTAGATTCTCTAAACTGTACATAAACCTGTGATTATCAGCATCATCCTTATCCTGGTAATTTCTAAAATTCCTGTTATCAATTTGCAAAAATTCTGATTATTATGAAGATAGAAAGAGGTTTTTAGCTGCTTAAAATGTATAGGAGGGGTATGGGAAACCAACCAAATAAGTCATTATCAACACAAAGAGGCATTTACCAGGAGCATCTGACAGTTCAAGGGTATGAAAAGGATCTGGGACAACCAAAAGAGACGCTCCTGATTCCAGAAGAGCAGATGGTCGTTCAGCTAGGACACAATGACAAGAATTACAGGAAAGATTTTGAAATCAGAATAAAATGCAACTGAACATTCTGGCTTAAAAACATAAAGCAAAAGGAGTTTGACCTTTACATACATTATTCATACTAAAAGGACACCAATTAATTGCTGTGTCTAAATTCTTAACCACTTGAAAAATCCCTTTTTTCGTCATCATAGTCTTCCCTTGGTTGACTGCATCACTGCCATTGATGTTCTTTTTCATAATATTCACTCGGTGTCTTGCTATGGGATGCAGCCTCCTGCAGCCCTGATAGAAGCATCTATCTCAATCTGCCAATCCTGATTGGCCGGTGGAAGTGCCCGTCATACGCCACGCCCCGTAGCTCCGACTACTAAAGCGTGTGCGGATCACGGCACTCCAATTCAAAACCTCTTCTCACCTGAGAGCTTATCTCACGTCGGAGCCTTCTCCTAGCTTAACTGCCCACAGACGGACCTTGCTAGTTTCCGTCGCCGGACGCTAGCACTGTGCTCTGGCTTCTGCCCTGGCTTCTGCCCTGTCCGCTCACTCCAGACCGGACCGGTATCCTTTTGTCTCTCTTCACGGCGGAATCCCTCTCGGCTCCCCTCCACGGACGCTCGAGTCGGACGAGCATTTAGCACACCAGCTACTTCCTCGACCCCGCCACGCTAGCACGCCAGCTAGCTACGGTTCCTTTCCCTACCAGCACTCCAGCTCGTCAGAAAATGGCGACCGTCCAAAACCCCCACGCCAGGGGAGACTACCGTCTTTGTGGCTGCGGGAATAAAATTTCAGGGAAGGACACCCACCCGGTGTGCAGTACCTGTCTGGGAGTCGACCACGCCAGGTTGGCCCTAGAGATTCCCGGCTCCTGTGGACAATGCAAAGTGTTCACGGTTAAGAGCCTCAGACGCAGGCTAGCCCGCCAGGTTAGCGTCTCGGACTGTGATCCATTCCTCCCCACCGCCGAACAAGGTGCAGCCGCGGAGGAGGACGTGGACACAGCTGGGGAAGCTCCGGAGACTGACTACGACTGGGGTGCCCAGTGCGAGCAGCTCCATTCCCCCCCGTTTCCCGAGGAAGACGTGCTGGAAGTCAGCCCCATGGAGGAGGATGACGACACCTCGTTCCTCATATCAGAGGACGAGGAAGAGGATGACACCTTCATGGCCCCAGCACAGCCTGAGAAGCCTAAACCGCCGTGCCCTTCCACCAAGGAAGACAGGGGAGCGAGCTCACCAGCTCCCTCCCTCCATGTGGACCTGCTCGACGTGTGCAAACGCGTGGCAGAGAAGCTGGAGATCCCCTGGCCGGTCGCAATAGCGGAGCCCACCCGGTCCCGCTAGGAAGGCAAACGGCTTCCCCTGGCACGAAATGCGGTGAAGCAGCTTCTCCCTGTCTTCCCCGAGTTGCTGACGGAGCTCTCCAAAACATGGACTAGCTGCCCATACAGCAACAGGAGCCCTATTTCGGGCGCAGCATCCCTCGACTGCGAGGCGATGGACGCCCACGGCCTCCTCTCCATGCCTCCGGTGGAAGTCCCGGTAGCTGCGCACCCCTGCCCAGGCAGCGTGAGCCCGCTGTCTGCAGTTTCCCCCAGGCGCCCGACGCTGCCAGCTAAGCCCGAACGGTTTCAGTCTGCGCTGACCGAAAAGGCATACAAAGCAGCAGCCCTCTCGGCCAGAGCCCTCAGCGCCCTCTCCATCCTCACTGCCTACCAAGCGGAGTTGTTTGGCGCGTCTGCTGAGGAGCAAGACCCGGATGTGTGGGAGGAGATGGCGGTCATCGCGGATCTGTCTCTCCGTATCCAACGTGTCTCGGTCCAGGCCACAGGGAAGGTGATGGCAACCCTCGTCGTCCAGGAGCGAGCGCGATGGCTCAGTCTCGCTAACCTGACCGACAGGGAGCGGGATGACATCCTGGATATGCCGATCGTCCCTGAAGGCATCTTCGGCTCTGCATTGGCCACAATGCAGCAAAGATGTGAGGCAAAGAAAAAGGACAACGAGGCCCTCAAACTTTGTCTCCCTCGGAAAAAGCCCCTGCGCCTTCACCTCCAGTGCAGTGCAAAACCTTTGCGCAAGCAGCCTCCCAGCCGCCGCGTTTTAAGATACCAAGACGGCCACCACCGCCAGGTCCGCCCCCTCCGATGAGGAAGGAGCGCGGAGCCGGCTGGCAGGGGAAACCTGCCTCCACGACCGCTACGCCGCCGCCGCCCACAGCCGCCGCGAGCTCGGTCCCACAGGCGAGGAAGAAAAAGAGGGCGGCCTGACAGCCGCCAGTTCCTCAGTTGGTGCAGCCTGCCGCTCCCCGTTGCGCAGGCCCACCGTTTTGGCTTGTTTGTGCGCACCCCGCGCCACCGTTGCCCATCCCAGAGCCGGTCCGCGAGGAGAAGGACATCGCCCCGGAGGTCTGCGCGGTTGCGCCCCGAGCGGAATGTCCACAAGCACAGTCACACACCCTTGTTCAAAGAAAAAATGGTGTCAAAATAAAAATAATAAATCTGTCACAGCCAGGCCACGAGCCGAGGGTGCAGATAATAAAAAAAGCCAAAACAGACAATGCTCTCTCCATAAGCAGGGTGGCCGCTCAGCCCCCTGCAGCTCTGCTCCCGGGACGGGCACCGCCGTCCCCGCAGAGCAGAGCGCCCCACCGTGCCTCCGGTGGTGCCCGAGAATCATTTCTCGGTTCCACCACAGGGGGGCGCGGGGCAGGAGCCGCAATATGTTCCCCCGCTTTCTCTCAGATGGGAAAGCTGGAGAGCAGCAGCAGCAGCTCCACCGTGGGTGTTGCGCACAATTTCCCGGGGATACAGGCTTCAATTCGCCACTGTCCCTCCCCGCTTCTCCGGTGTAATACACTCACATGCACAGGGAGAATCAGCTCGAGTTTTACGGGAGGAAATTCTCTCTCTGATAGACAAACGAGCAGTTTCTGTTGTATCTCCCGAACAGAGTCTGTCAGGGTTTTATTCTAGATACTTCCTCGTCCCCAAACGGGGGGGGGAGAGGAATCCGCCCTATTCTGGACTTAAGAGCCCTGAACAAATTCCTGCGGAAATACAAGTTCAGGATGCTGACACATGCAGCACTGTTGCGTCTAGTAAGACCGAACGACTGGTTTTCGTCCGTGGATCTGAAAGACGCTTATTTCCACATTCCCATTTATCCCCCTCACAGACAATATCTCCGATTTGCCTTTCAAGGGGTGTGTTACGAATACCGTGTTCTACCATTCTGTCTGTCTCTCAGCCCGAGGGTTTTCATACGGTGCACAGAGGCCGCGGTAGCCCCGCTCAGACGCCGGGGGATACGTCTGGCCACGTATTTAGACGACTGGCTCCTGTTAGCGCAGTCAGAACAGGAAGCCAGGGTTCACACACACATTGTCACAACACACCTGATGGATTTGGGTTTTGTGATAAATATGGAGAAAAGCCACCTATCTCCAACGCAGGAGATATGCTTTCTGGGATTATCCCTGCGCTCTGTTCTGTTCACAGCCCGCCTGTCAGAGGAAAGAGTGACGACTTTCAGAGCGTGCCTTGCACAATTCCGTCTGCACAGGTCTGTCCAGTTCAGACTGTGCCTTCGGTTGCTGGGTCTGATGGCCTCAGCCATCCTCGTGATTCGCCTCGGCCGCCTTCACATGCGGGACTTTCAGCGCTGGGTCGCTTCGCTCCGAATGGACCCCATGCGTCATGGCGCACGGCGGATAACGGTCACAGCGGACTGTATAACAGCTCTGCGCTGTTGGCGAGCCCCGTCCTTCCTTACCCAAGGGGTGCCTATGGGCACCGTCTCGTCCAGGAAAGTGGTAACCACGGATGCCAGCCTATCAGGCTGGGGCGTCATTCACGAGGGCAGGTCTGTGAGGGGTCGCTGGAGCCAGGCCCTCCAGCGCCTTCACATAAACTTTCTCGAACTTTCGGCGGTGTTTCTTTCTCTGAGACACTTCCTCCCATTCCTCTCGGGTCACCATGTCCTGGTGAGGACGGACAACACGACAACAGTGGCGTATATCAACCGCCAAGGGGGCCTGCGCTCCCGCATGTTGCACAATCTGGCGCGCGACCTGATTCTCTGGAGCAGTGCCCACTTTCTCTCCCTGAGGGCGACGCACGTCCCGGGAGACTTGAACACGGGTGCGGACCTGCTGTCCAGAGGCGCGCCAGTGTACGGGGAATGGACGCTGCACCCACAGGTCGTGGAGCAGATATGGGCGCACTACGGGCGCGCTCAGATAGATCTGTTCGCGTCCAGGGAAAACGCTCGATGCAAGCTGTTCTTCTCTCTGAGCACTCTGAATGCCCCTCTGGACGTAGACGCACTAGCGCACGCCTAGCCGCACTAGCGCACGCCTAGCCGCACGAGCTGCTATACGCGTTTCCACCGCTGGCCCTGATACCCCCCACTCTCGCCAGAGTGAGGGCATTCAATCACAAACTGATCCTAATAGCTCCGCACTGGCCAGCGCAACACTGGCTGGCGGAGATATTCCAGATGCTGTGCGCCCAGCCTTGGGAGCTGCCGCTGCGCAGGGACCTGCTCTCGCAGGGTGCGGGGACAGTGTTCCACCCACACCCGGAGCGACTGCAGCTGTGGGCCTGGCCCGTGAGTGGCTTAATTTAACCACTACGGGACTCCCTCAGAGTGTAATTACTACTATCCAAAACGCCAGGGCTCCCTCTACTAGGAGCCTATATGGCTCCAAGTGGAGACTGTTTGAGTGGTGGTGTCTTGAACGGGACTACGTTCCCTTTCAGTGTGCTGTACCAGCGATTCTGTCATTTTTACAGGAACTGATTGATAAAGGAAAAGCTTTTTCCACAGTTAAGGTTTATCTGGCAGCTATAGCAGCATGCCATATAGGATTTGGAGACAAAACGGCGAGCCAACACCCTTTGGTTTGTCGGTTTATGAAGGGCGCCCGCAGGCTCCTCCCCGTCTCCAGACCTTTGCTGCCTCCGTGGGATTTGTCGGTGGTTCTTGAGGGGCTCAAG